AAAAAAAAAAGAAATCGCCGGGCTCGGTGGCTCAGCCTGTAATCCCGCGCCTTTGGGAGGCTGAGGTGAGTGGATTGCCTGAGCCCGCGGGTTCGAGACCCGCCTGGGCAGCGAGACCTCATCTCTACAATAAATCAAAAAATCAGCAGGGCGTGGTAGCGCATGCCTGTAATTCCAGCTACTTGGAAGGCTGAGGCGGAGGGATCGCAGGAGCCCAGCAGGCGAGGTTGTGGTGGCCGGGAGCGGCCACTGCACTCCAGTCTGGGCGACAGAGTGAGACTCCAACTCAAAAAAAAAAAAAAGGAATCTTTGAAATTCCTGACTACAAAGAACAGCTCTTATTACCAAACCTGGTAGACGATGACGGATTTTCAATCATGTTGAGCATGAATTCTCAATGCACAGCATGGGTCAGTTTAATGAGTTCAGAATATTAAAAAAAAGTCACTTGCAAGCATACACACACACACACACTCAATCGATAGTTCTTACTTTATCTAAGAGTACAAGTTTCAAAATAAAATACAAAGTACAAAATTTGAGCACAATGCCAAATGAAGAAAACGTAGTTAACAGACGCAGTTTTCCTCTAAATCCCATTTTTATAAAAAGAAGCAATAGCCAGTTATCCCGAAACAGTGAGAACGATGATTTTAAGTGGAAAATATTATAAAATGTTTTAACGCAAGAAGTACCTCAGTCATTAAATTTAAAAGTCAGAAAAATTATCTGCCCTTCAGAGATATTGATGATCCTGACCCTGTGTAGGCCTAGGCTAGTGTGTGTTTGTATCCTAGTTTTTAACCAAAAAAAGCTAATAAAAACTTAGAAATGATTTCAGAATTTATACAGTAGAAAAGTTACAAGCAAAGGTTATTATAGAAAAAAATTTTAAAAATAAACCCAGTGTAGCCTAAATGCAGTGTTTATAAAAAATCTACAGTAGTACATAATCATAGTCTAGGTCTTCACATTCACTCACCACTCCCTCAGTGACACCACCCAGTCCTACAAGCTCCATTCATGGTAAGTACCCTGGTACAGGTGTACCCTTTTAAAAATCCTTTATACTGTATTTTCACTGTATCTTTTCTATGTCTGGATATCTTTAGATACACAAACACCAGTGTGTTCTAATTGCCTACAGGGTTCAGTATAGTAAATTGCTGTAGCGGTCTGGGGCTAAAGAGGAGCAATAGACTATACCCTATAGCCTATGTATGGAGTAGACTAGTCCATCTAGGTTTGTGTAAGTACACACTATGATGTTCGCACAATGACAAAATTGTCTAAATGGATTTCTCAGTATATATCCTCATTATCAGGTGATGCAAAATACCACAAAATAACAATACATTCTTAAGATTACAATCAGAAATATTTAAATGTATTTCACAAGCTCTGTGTTTAAGTAAAAGCTTCTACAATTGCCCTAAAATGCTATATTTAGATGAACAGAAGTTACCCTAATACCAGCTACTGAAGGGATAAGTAGAAATAAATTGTTGCCTACTGGCAGAGAATATGGGCTTATTAACTTTTTTGATGAAATTATTCTAAAGGGCATGAGGAATATCCCTAATTTGTTTTCCAATATAAACTGGTCAGTCATTTAAGTTCATTCTTGACCTACTTGTTTTCATGATTTACCAATTTTAGCCATCACTCACTACTTTAAGAATTTCTGCCTTGAGAGAACTTAAGATTTAAAATAGGAAGAAAAAAAAAGAAAACATATCTACGCTATTAAGTTTCAGAACAACTGTGTACTATTACAAGAATCCTTTACAGCTTTATCATCTATAAAGACAATTACTAAGTATGAAAAGATTTTAAAAATACAAATCCTAGGATCAATTAGTACTGACTGTTACATAAACAAGAAGGAAAATCTGCCATTCACAAAGTTTTATTTGGTCTTTGGGAAAAGAAAAAAATACATAATAAATTAGCTCAAGTATGTCTAGAACAAATCAAGTAGAACTCACCTCACAGAAGACTTATTACTGGGAAATTTTATGATTTTTCTGTAATAGACCAATCTTTTCAGTTTTGTTTTTGGTAATAATAATGTCAAATACTTTAAACCACTCCAGTCTTTGACTTACACTAATGTATACTGTGATTTATAAGCAGCAGCCTAATACTACTAATGGAACTACTAGTCATCAAATCCCTCTTTAATGGTGTCTTAAACATATTTCTTTTGTAATTTTAATCTTTTGAAGGCAGGGAACTGCATTATTTCACTTTTGAGATCAGACATACATTGGGAAAATCAACTAATTATACAAGGTTGTAATTTTATAAAAGCAAATCTTATTTAAAGGAACCTTTACAATAAGCATACAATAAGGTAACATGGCACCCAGGAACCAGTTATTTCACTTAATTCCCATAGCCCCAAATTTCTCAACAAAGAACATTCCATCCAAAAGGAGAGAAATAAAATGAAATAAAGTATCTTAGAGAAATAGACTGTCTTGAGGACTTTTTTTTTTTTAGATCCTTAAAAATATAGTATTCCTTATAAATTTGGTAAAATTTCTTTTTAAATATCAGTGGTGGTAGCAGGGACAATCATAGAACCACAGAATCAAAGGTAAAGAAGACTAGACTAGAAGATTCTTATCAAAGGATGACAAAGCCATACTTGTCATGGATAAGGTATACTAATTACTTCAAAGGGGAAAACCTATACAACCAGATATTTAAATTTATGTTTGGAATTTAGAAATTAGGGACAATGCATCTGCTAGATCTGTTAAAGCTTTTTGTATCAGGTAACTTAGATATAAAGAGCAGATAAGGACATTTTATAATTGAAAAGTGATGAAAAATAAATTTCTAAAACTTACCTTCATAGTAATGTATTTATGATATACTTCTGATACTTAATACCAAATCAATTAAAAATAAGAACAAGAGTTAAAGGCAGCCCTCCTCCTAGGCATTTAATAAGTCTTCCCTTATCTTTGGTTTCTGTGATCTTCACTAATAAAAATCTGAGATAATCTGCACACAAATCATTTTTACATAGATGTATTAATAATAAATGCTATTCCTTAAGTTCTAATTGGCCATAAATTATCAACTAGGTTCTTTTGAAACAGGAATCCACTATCATTTACATTAAAATTACTCAAATATTAAGAGGTAATAAGAATACACTTATATCTGGTGCAAATTTAATTTTATTAAACCTTACAATGAACGTTGTGGCATATCATTTTCCATTGTGTGACAATTTATCAGCTGGCATCTGAATACAGTACTTCTTTTGAAAAAATACACAATGGGAACTGACAAAAGGGAAACTAGTTGTTTAGTGATACAAGAGGGCAAAAAAAGAAAAAAGAAAAAAAGAAAATGATGACAATAAATTAGTTTCCTTAGTATCTAACTCTAAGATGGTTAAAGTTTCAAGCAATTATGCTGCTGCTACAGTGTACATGAATATGTTATCTCATCCAGCCCCCGTAATTCTAAGAAAATTAATTACAAAAGTATACCAGTGAATTCAGCCTAAGGTTTCTGCTGGCAATATGATTCTTAAAGAGCTACTTTTCCAAATATAACCTAAACAATTTTCCCAAGTCACAGTATATGGGGGTCTCTAAAATATTATAAATTTAGGCAGTCACTTTACAAGTGAGCCATCATTTAACTTAAAAATCATAAAGGGCACCAAATTATCTTTGTCAATTTGGGCTTATGCCTGTCAGATTTATGAATAAGAAAAATGACTACTTGTAAATCTATGATCTATTCGTCTTGACAAAGGAGACTGGCATCTAATCTGAGTAAAGTGACCATTTCTTTTACAGAAATGACTAAACCAGTGGAACATTTAATATTCAGCAAGCCCCACAGGGCATTTTTTTGTAGAAATGTAATCAAAACTTATACAGTAACTCTAGTCAACACCACCATGCTACAATGTACAGTTTAGTTTGACTCACGAGTACAGTTAGCTCATTAAGAATTAAATTTACACATCTGTGGTTAAAAAAATAAATTTAAGTATTTTATTTTATTCAGTCTCACAATTTTGAGAATATTTTCTTATGAAGGCCTTAACAGTGTCTGAGGCCACATTGATGAACCAACTCCCCCTGGAATAAAATCAGGAACAATTTTGACTCATTAAGCTGATTTTTCAAGAGCTCCCAATGTTATTTGTGGAGATGGCAAAAAAGAAGAGAAAATTGTACCCTATTTGAAATAAGGCATGCCAGTTATCAAGACTAAGTTCTAAGTTATCTGATTTAGTGGTGGAAAAATGTTATTTAAAGAAATTCTTATTTTTACTGGAGTTCTACAATTTAAGTTCACCTGTAAAATAGTGAGATGTGCTTCATTCTAAGTACATGTAAACTCTCCCAGCTACCCCCCAAAAAGGAGGGGGAACTATTAAATCACTTAAAAATCCAAGTCATCTTTATCCCAAAATTATTGAGATAATCTAATATAGATATACTATACTGGCAATTCTCCTTTAAGAAAAATAGTTCATGCATATATAGTTCTTACACCACAAGGTTAGAGACAGATTATTTCAAAATATTAATGTTTGATATCTCTAGAATACCAATCTAATTCACAAATTAAACTATTAATATACTGTATGTGGAAATTCAAACATATCATCAAATGTACCCACAGTAAATAAGAGATAGTAAAATCTCTTCATCAAATGGTTGGAGAGCTCCCATTTATATCCAATCCACAGTTTTTAATGGTGAATTAAATTTACAACCTAGTAATATGAGTAAGAATTTTTAGAAAATTAAACCTCAATTATTTAACCAAAAGTCTAATGTTCTTCTATTTACTACTCTTCATTAAAGGTTTTTTAAAGATGAAAGATGACAATAAACTTTGTATGACTGTTTGCAATGATAATGCCCTAAATTGTGTAACATCAACCCTCAGAATAAAATGTCAACACAAAAGTTCAAATAAGTGATCCAGCTCATTAAACTCACAGGTAAACTGAGTTTTTCTGAAATCAATAAGGAGCTTTTTATTCAGAACAATTTCATTAAGACATTTGTAGGGCAAATATGCCATCATAAATTTTATTCTGAATTACAATAAAGTGCTGCATGATAATTACCTGAATCGTTTTTAGTACTTTTCACTTATCTTAAGTTAAAAGAGCCCTTTCTGTGGCATTAGCAAATCTGAGACAGAAAGAGAGGAGAGAAAGAAAAGAGAGAGAGAAGCACTGCAACCTTTTGTGTTTAACTAGGGTAACAAATAATTGAGACCAAAGTAATTCATGCAAGTTATTTTTAAAGGTATACATAAGCTTGAAGAAAGAAAGAACACTGTTACTGACCTTTGATACTATGGCAGTAAATTGCATACTAAAATACCTTAATTATCTTAGATGCCTAGATCTGGCTTGGCAAGCATCATGCCACTGACATGCTTCAGCTCTTTTTGTAACTAAAAGTGATTTGCAGTTCAATTACTGAATATTTCAATGTGATTTGTTAAGCTGTGTGATAAACTTGGAAGTTAAATTTAAGCAAATTCTCTACACCTAGTCACACCATCAGCACAAGCAGGACAATGCTGGAGCAGCATGAAAGGTGGGTCACTTTGGAAGGATTCTTCCTTTTACTGCATGATATATTAAGATGACAGACCTAAATTTCAACTGGGTTAATGAGTTAAAATAGATTTGTTTCCCAAATTTAGCACACAATAATTTCAGTGGGTTAGAGAAAGAAACCTCAAAAGTTAAGAAAAAACAAACAAAAAAGCTTGAGCTAAGATAGCTAACCTGCAGCTCTAAAAATGTCATGCTATAAGAGTACTTTCATAAAATGAAATTTGTAACAAACTTAAGAAAACTGTTTTGAGTTGAAGTTGACCAACTGCTGCATAGAAAATATGCTAACATACAACAGTCAAGTTTAAGCCGGTGCATAGAGAAGATAAAGCACTTATGGTAACTGCAAATGGTAACAAGTTCATAAAGTTTATACAACCTAGCATGGGTTGGTAAGAGGGGGAAACTGTAGTAGAAATGGTTAGAAAAAAATAAAGTGGAAACAGGGAAGAAGTTTGGAGGAGAGAAGAAAGAAGCAGGGAAAAAAAAAAAGACCTTCAACTGTATAAAATTCACAAACCAGTAAAGTATTAAGACACCACTGAAAAATGGTTAACTTTGTCCCAAACACCCAACAGCAAACAAAACCAGAATGAATAAGCCTTTGGCAGACAATTTTAGAAATTTGAATACGACAATACATTTCTCAATAATTCACAAACAATATATTATATGGTATATATATATATATTAAATACTGGGAAACCAATCTTGTAAATTTGATGCTTATAATGTTTTAGCCAATGAGAGCACGATGATATCAAGCTAAATGAATGCTGGTGTTATCACAACAGTGCTCATTCATGAAACAACTGTTACCAATTCGTGCTTTAACAGTGCTAAAATACAGTCAAATTATCATCTATGAAGTGAAACAAAGGTCTCTAGCTTTTCTGGGATGTGCCCTTTATAATATATTCTATGATTCACTATGACACGAGCAGCAAGACACTGCAATGTGGTATGATTTATGGGCTGAATCAAATTTTTAGCTATTTCCTTCTCGTCCAGCAAGTCACTAGCAGTTTGTTTGTGCAAGTTTGTGGCATCAAAATGTGCACCTGATTTAATAAGGAGATTCATGATGTCTGGATGGTTGTTAAGAGCAGCGATATGTAGGGGACTGTTGTCATCGGAGTCTCTGACATTCACATCAGCACCACATTCTATCAGTATTGCAGTAACTTGCAGTGATGGAAATTTACAAACAGGATAACGCCCTACACATGTAGTATTCTTGTCCACAGCCAGATGAAGAGGGCTGAAGTTATTCTTTCCCCTCGGATGCAGCTTAAGAAACCTGTATATAGTCTGCTTTTTGAAATGGTCCTGTTCTACAGTACAAGGAACTTTTTCTAACAAGCAAATTAAGTGCAAAATGATGGAAAGAGCCTTATTTAACTGTAATGGATCAGCTGGACACTGAGTTTGTTTGATAGCTCGCTCTATTTCAAGGACGCTTTTGCACAGTATGCCCATAAGATCATCAAATGTAACAGTAGTTCCCAGAAGACCTTTAGCCCTATCCTGTAGCATAAAGGAGAACAGTTCTGCAAAAGATAATAAGCTGCTGGCGGTCATTGGGCTTAAAGGGTCCAAATTGTTCTGCTGCATATCCAAAGCGTACTTCCATAGGTTGATGCATCGTTTGAAATTTCCAGAGTCTGCATAGACAGCGCCTCTATATCTAATATAGTAAGAGGTATCAGGATGAGAAGGACCAAGAATACGTTCTCTAATTAACAGTGCCTGCATTCTCATCTCATCAGGATCAGCAATAAGACCTTCTAACTCTTCTGCACTGTTTACCTCCTTGGCATAATCATAAGCCATTATTAGTGTCTGTGGTACTGGTTTACTAATTATATTAGTCCTGTCACTGTACCTCATGTTCATTGCCTTTTTCCAGTATTTCAAAGCCCCAAGTAGATCTCTTTTTTTGTCTACAAATGTAGCTCCCAGAAGCTCTAGAGCATTGATACGTTCTGTCTTGCTGGTCTGTGCATGATGTGTCAGAAAATCCACAATATTTGTGTGACCAGTCACACTTGCTGAGAGAAGGGGAGTCATTCCATAACCATCCTTTTCCATCTTGGCACAATACATAAGAAGCATCTTCATGATGTCCAAACTTCCAGATTCTGCACAATCATGCAATGCTGTATTACCTTAAGGAGAGGAAAAAAGAAATAAAATACATTGAGGCACCAGGTAATAATTCAGTACCTGTATGTACTTTAGGACCTAAAAAAAAAAAAAAACAGGTAGCAACAAGCCACTCTTAGTTAAATACAGTTTGACTACAAATAAGAAAAAAATTATCTCTGGCACTTAAAACTAACATCTGACACACATCAGCAGGGGATGAAAAAATACTTGTTGAATAAATGGCATGACCAAATTAGGTGTGACAAGATACCCAAAATCACCAGATGAAACTCCAAATTCTGCCAGGTCAGTGGCTCATGACTGTAAACACTTTGGGAGGCCAAGGCAGGAGGACTGCTTGAACCCAGGAGTTCGATAAAATTAATCCATGGTGTGTTGGTATTTTTCATTAAGGTCTTCAAGTGCATATTCTATGATTAAAATGGATGAAATACAACTAACCAGTGATATACAGTTTTGCTGACAGTCACTTAGCTTTTTGGATCAGCTTCCACATTTATAAACAAGAGGTCTAGTTTTTAATGTCTAAGATTTTTCCACTTGATTCTAAGAGTAGTCAGAATTTTTTTTTTTAAACAATACTTATTTGTGATTACCAAGTGAATTTCAGTTGTTTTAGCCAAAATTCTTGGTAACAAAGTGCTTTCTCCAAAAAGTTCCCATTAGAAAACAATTTGACTGAAATCTGAAAAACATGTGGGTGGTTCAATATGAACTTTAAAAGGAGACATCTGAAGTGTCCTTTCATAATGGATTATTTCCCATTGTAATTTAATTTTTTAAACATTCTTTTTAGATGTACTAAATGTTCTAACACTGTCCTATTCTTCCCACACATGAATTAAAACTGACAACAGGCACTGGCTCATTAAAAGCCTGTATGAAACATATTAAGACACATAAACGTCAGATATTTAGCTAAGTTTAATGATAGTCATTCTACTAATCATCAGAATAGCAATTATCATGCAGACCTCTGACAGTTACATACAATCGTTTGCAGAAAATTTCAATAACGAGTAATTCTAAGCATCTACTATGACTAAACTGATCCAATGATTCAGTTTATACTGAACTCCTGGTTTTCCTGGGAGTCTAAAGTTTTAGGTATGTGCTAGGCAAAGAGTGCCCATGTAACCAGCCCTCAATAAAAACCTTGATTGTTGAGTCGCTCACAGGTTTCCCTGTGTAGAAACAGGACACAAGGGTTACTTTCATTGCTGGGGAAGAATGTGTTCTATAAGACCCATCATGAGAGGGACAGAGTATAAAAATGCCTACACACAGATTCTAGACCTCACCTATGCTTTACTCCTTATGATCCAGTTGCATGTACTTATTGCACAGCTGTAATAAATCTTAGCCAATATTAAGTACAACTGTATGGTCAGTTACCTCTAATATGGGGGTGGCTTTGAAAACTCCCAACAAAACATGTGTACCAGACAGTGTTTTAAACATTAATAATTCAAATAATAAATCTACTTTTATAGGAAAAAAAGTTACTATACCTTAAAAATTTAATCTGTCCACAAATTTATCCTGTTTAGTCTCATTTACAAGGTCTGCATAATTACTCTAGATGTGTTTATTCTGACCCAGTATTTCAATGGTCTACAATGATCTGACATATGATAAAATGCTTCATCAATGTGTAAAATAACCAAGCACTGAAAGAGCCCAGAATATTTATTCAAAATAATTTCAATTAAACATGACAACTATACCAGGTATGTTTCTAAACCTCTTTTAATTGAAAACCCTTACTATTCCCATTTTCTCCTAAAAATAGGCAATATAAGTAAAAATAAAAAACTGAATATAAAGAGAAGGCTTAGATGGTATTCTCTCTTCAGAGTAAAATACAATCAAGAATTAAAATGTAGCAGAAGTCAATTTAATTAAATTTCTGCACTTATTGAACAAACACAAAATATATTTATTTTGAATACACTCACATATTGAAGAAAAAAAAGAACAAGAAGAAAAAAGAGAACAACAAAAAAAGAGCATCCAATCATGGCAGAAAAACCTGCAATGTGATCACCCACCCACTCAGAGCAAAATCTGCTTGATAGCATTTAAAAGATAACAAGGGGACAATACCCAGGATAAGAAAGAAAACTAGAGAAGTCCAGTCCAAAATTTGGGGCAGCTTTCCCAAAATGGTCTCTACCAATTCTGGAAGAGATAACTGAAAAACTAACAACTTCTGACAGCATTGCAGGGCTAAAGGAAAAAACTGGAGTTCACAGCCCACGAAAAAGGGAACTTTGAAAACTCCCCACACTTTGGGTTAGAGCTCCAAAGGTTACATACAACCTAGGGAGTTAAGTAGAGAGCAAGTAGACGAGCTATCAAAGAAACTGAAATCTAACTTAAAATCACCTCAACATTCAGTTCTAATCATCCAGGATTGCTAGTATACAAAATCAAAAGCCAGAAGCAAATATAAATACTTAGAGGAAAATATTATCATACAAGGGTTCTAATTATTTTTTATACTCTTCATATGTAATGCTCAGTATCCAATAAAGAACAGTGGACAGAAAATAAAGAACCACAAAACCAAAAGAAATAAGAGCTGAGAGAAAAGCCAAACAGGAGATGTAGCTACCACAATTTATCAACACAGATTCTGGAACAGTAACTATGCTTAGCATATTCAAAGAGATTTTTTTTTTTAATTTTGAATTCAAAAGAAAACTTAGAAACTAAAAAACTCACTGGGTGGCTTTAAAAGCAGATTTATACACAACTGAATAGAGAATTAGTAAAGTGGAAGATAGAGAAGATGAAAATATACAGATATAAGGATGGAGCGGTTGTGGTAAAATGATGGAAAAGGAGACTTTAAGAGACAGAGGGAACAACGTTAGAAGGGTTGATATCTCAAAGCCAAAATTCTAGAGGAAGAAAGTGGGTCAAAAGCAACATTTGAAGAGATAAAGTCCAAGAACTTCCAGAAGCTGATGAAGTTTAAACTATAAATTTAATTCATTTCACAAACTCCAAGAAGAAAAAATAAAAAGAAAACCACACTGAGGTGCAACACAGCAAAACTGCTGAAAAAAAATCTTAAGACCAGAGAACAGGTGGAAGAACCTGCAGAAGAACAACAGACTGACAGCAAAGTTTCATCAGGAACAATATAAGCCAGCAGACATAGAGTAATATTTTTAAGAGCACTAAAGAAAGGTAATTGCCAACTTGGAATTCTATACCCATATCATGAACAAATGTGAAATAAAGAAGCATTTCAAATAAGAAAAAAAAACCTAAGATATTTATTACCAACAGGTCTAAATACTATAGAGTGTTCTTTAGGCAAAAGGAAGATGAGCCACATAGACGCTTCAAGATGTAGACATAAACATCAACAAAAAAGGGCAAATCTAAATAAATACTGATTTTGAAAACAATGTCTTGTAGGGCTTGAAATATGTATATAGAAATAAATACTTGGTAGCAATAGCATAAAAGTATGGAAAGTAAATGAAGTTAAAGTGTTCTAAGATCTCTGCTAAGTTGGAAAGATGTACAATTAGAAATTTATGTTAGCCTTTGATAAGTTTAAGTAGTACAATCTAGAATAACTACTAAAATAATATTAGAGGATATATACATTACATTTTCTCTGATATTGAGAAAAAAATGAAATAATAAAAAGCCATTCAAAAGGGAAAAAGGGGATGAACACAAAACAGGCAGGACAAATAAAAATTAGAAAGATGGTTAGAAGATTAAAAGCTAAATATATCAGTAATTACATTAAATGCAAGCAAACTAAAGGGTCCCATTTAAAGACAAAAACTGTCAGAGTGAAAACACAAAGAAAATTCAAGACACACTGCTTACAAGAGACACACTTTAAATATAAGGATAGAGATAGGTTTTGGAAGAAGATGAAATAAATATATCTTTACAAAAACTAAATATTAAAAAACTGTCTGGGCTGGGCTCAGTGGCTCAGCCTGTAATCCCAGCACTTTGGGAGACTGAGGCAAGTGGATTGCCTGAGCCCACGGGTTCAAGACCAGCCTGGGCAACTTGGCAAGACCTCCTCTCTACAATAAATCAAAAATTATCTGGGTGTGTTAGCGTGCGCTTGTGGTTCCGGCTACTTGGAAGGCTGAGGCAGAAGGATCACCAGAGCCCAGCAGGTAAATGCTGGGGTAGTCATGAGTGTGCCACTGCCCTCCAGCCTGGGTGACAGAGTGAGACTCCAACTCAAAAAAAACCTGTCTGATATTAAAATAACAAAGTAGACTTTACAGTAAAATGCATTAGAGATAAAGGGGAACATTTCATAATGATATAAAATTCAAAACACAAAGATATAATAATTCTAAATTTGTTTTCACCCAATAACATAAAATTTAGTTATATAAAGCAAAAACTGACAGAACCACAAGGAAAATCAGGCAAATCTATAAACACTACATATGAACATATCTTTCTCAGTTTAGAAGACCAAAACCAATAAGAGTAAAGACTTGAAAACAACAAACATAACTGAACTGGCATATATAGAAGAATACAGTACTCAACTGTAGAAATTTTTTTTCCCAAGGATATATGAAAGTATATACAAATACTAACTATATTCTGGGCCTAAAGCAAGTTTCAACAAATGCAAAGAGACTGAAATCACTAAGTATGTTCAAAGTCCACAATGCAATGAAGTTAGATATCAAAAAAAGATAACTAAAAAACTCTGTATTTTTGAAATCTTAAAATTCACTTCTAAATAACTCATAAGTCAAAGAAGAAAGCCCAATGAAAATAAGAAAAAAAAATTTTTTTTGAGTGGAGCCTCACTCTGTTGCCCAGGCTGGAGTGCAGTGGCAAACTCCCGTTCATGGCAGCCTTGACCTGCTAGGCAATTCTTTTGCCTCAGCCTTCTAAGTAGCCGGAACTACAGGTGTGCGCTACCATGCCCAACAATTTTTTGATTTATTGTAGAGACGAGGTCTCACCATGTTGCCCAGGCTGGTCT